ACTTTCCGCTGCCCCCCGGCCCGTGCATGAGCATGTGAAGGCGGTCACTGTTATTGGTGTCCTTGGTATTGGGCCGCTTGAGGACGTAGTCGACGATGTAGTCCATGGCTGCCTTCTGATGTTTCGTTTCGGGGCTTGGGTTCTCTGTCGTCAGCATTTCGAAGGCTTCCTCGCCGCCTTCTACCGGCGCGAAGGCATCGCCAGCAGCCCCTGTTGGCACGTGATCTGGCGGCAGGAAGTCGATCTCGCCACCGTACCGCTCTTTCAATGCCTCCATAATCTTCAAAGAGTCTTCGTAATTTTCCTGGGCGATCTTGCTGTTGGCCCATCCATCCCATACATCGCCGGGACGCATCTTCGCCTTCATATACATGACCGCCTGGACGGCTTGCAGCTTCCGGGCCGCGTGTACAGTCCCATCCATTTCGGGGAAACACTTTGACCGGAGGAAGTCTGGGTGGGCAGTCGTGTCCCGAGCAACTCGTCGAAAGGCTGCTGCGTGGCTTCCGTTGTCCTCCTCTTGCAGCCAGTCTCCTGGCTCTACCCAGACCAAGTACAGCAGCAGTTTGGAGTAGTAGAAAGCTTCCGGTTCGAGGTCAGGACTGAAATTCCGGTAGGCGACGATCGCAGGTCGCCTTCGTGGCTGCGGCTCCCCACCGATGAACTTGAAGGCTGCGCAAAAATCCAGAAAGTTCACCTCCTTGAAAAGACAGCTCCTGAACTTGCCGCCCTCCACCGGAATCTCGACGGTCTCCTCCCCGAACCTGCGTTGCAGCTCCCGGTACCGCCTCTGGGCCACGGGCATGGAGTCCTCGAGGTACAGTTTCTTGCTGCGGTATTTGCCTGGCGCCTGCAGAGCCACGCTCTCCTCGTTCTTCGGTACTGACAAGGTCCAAGTGTATGGTGGGCCCACCTGGATCCACTCGTTATCCCTAGAGAACTCGACGACGGGGAAGCCCAGCAGCAGGTGGCAGGCTTCGAACGTCGATGTGGTTCTGCCCTGCAGCGCGGCGTGGGCGGCTTTGTAGACCTGCTGTTTGCCGAGGCCGCCGTCGTTATTGCTGCTGGAGGTGAGGCTCGCGACGATACTTTCCACGCGCTGTTGCGCTTGCTTGTCCTGCTCCGATTTCATGGCATAACCGAGGATGTAGCGGCTCGCGCTGGTGAGCTCGCAGATGACCTGGAGGTCCATGCTAGCCCGCCACCGCCGAAGGATCTTGATGTTGTACTGCCCCATCATGCTGTCCGACTGAACCCGCCTCGTCGCCAAGCTACTTTTCCAGCGGCTGTTGGCATACCTCTCCTGGGAGGTACGGCGCCTGGTCCGCGTTTCTGCGGTGTGCGGGAAGCCGTGGCGGCAGGCGCCGTGCGACTTGATTCCACAGTACTCGGAGTGGTGGTGCACTAACAGCTCGGCCAACTTGGCGTTCACCTCGATGTCTCGGGACGAGAGTTTCTTGGATTGCCTCCACGTGAAAGGGGATTTGGTGCAAATGTACTTGTCGCTCCAGTCTTCCGCACAGCTGGGAGTGAAGGACTGCATGACCTCATCATCCGACCAGTCGGGAGCTTGCGGCTCGTGACCGGATCTGTCCTCGGAAGACATCTTTGCTGCCCGAGTTGGCTTCTCAAGTTCCATCACCCAGAGTAGGATGTGAGCGTGCGGATAGCCTCTCTTCTGCCATTCGATGCGGATGATGTAGTCCAGCACCCTGAACGGTGGCGCTCCCTTGAAAACTTTTCGGTGTTGGCCTGCAGAGTCCATGGCCGGCGCCTGGAGAAAGTCGTCCTCGTCTTCGGCCGCAGGATCGTCCTCGGCATCCACATCTTGGTCGAGGCGCGTCGTTGTTGCTTCGTGCTTGGCGGACAGCCAGTGCATCAGCTGGGTTACTTGATGCATGAACTGACGAGCCACAACGGCGGGATGCTGATTGCACAGCTGGTTCGGGGACAGACCGTCCCAGGTGAACTTCTCGTCGGCTTGGTAGCACTGCAGGATCTGAGCGGCTTCTCTCTCGATCTCTTGTGGCGGTTTCGCAGGACGCAGCCGAAGCAGCCGTGCCATGATGACGGCGATCAGGATGTCGGGCTGTCGGGCATGGCACGACAGGGTCATGAAGAATTTGGGCGCTCCGAGCTGCTCGTACATGTTGACCGCGACGCCCTTCTTTGCGAAGACGTACGAGCTGGTTCCAGGGATGTCCCGGAGAGCCGCGAACACTCGTCCTTTCCCGTCCTTGTACTTGGTCTTCTCGCTGGGGCCTTCCTGGCCTATCCTGACATTCACGTTGCCCGAGAGGCGCTTCTTGATGTGCATCTCCAGCAGCCACATGATGTAGCCGGCGGACGCCTCGAAGCGTGGGTCGAGATTCAGGAGACGCTTTCGCGCATATTGAGAGAAGCTGCCGTACTGGTCCTGCCACCCGCCCTGGCCGGTGGGAAACAGGTGCGGAAAGAGCTTCACGTCCATGTCGTCGCACATCGCTGATATGCCCCTGGCCTTTCGTAGCTCGTGTGTGTCGGCTCGGGGAGCCTTTAGGTCTTTGGGAAGCATGTATGTCACTTCGAGCTCTTCCGATTCTCTTTCGGCCGGTGACACAGGCGCTGCTGCTGCAGCATCGTCCTTGGCGGTGGGCGCTTTGCCATGGAGAATTGCAGCCATATCGTCCAGGGCTTTGTCCACAGCCGGGCTCGCCTGGTAGAGGCGGTGCTGGGATTTCAGCTGCCGCAAGGCTTGGTACAGGTGGTCGAGGCGGGCCGGCGAAGCGGTCATGCCTTGGACTCCCTCCACTAGGACCGTGCCATCTTCTTCGAGCGTTGCGCCATCCAGCACGTCGCAGATGAAAGGCTCGTCGACCAGCATTGCATACATGCGGCCCCACTGCGCACTTGGCCCGCCGGAAGGAAGCTTGTCAAGCAGGACTTGAGAGATTCGCGCCATGGCGAGCAGGTGATGCTCGATCGGCTGCAGGCTCTGGAGCGCTTCTGGGATGGGTGGTGGAGTGGGCAAGAAGATCTTGGTGACATTCTCCCGACAGTTCCTGCAGAGCATGTTGCCGGTTTGCTTCGCCGGCCTGCAATGCTTCGCGGTTGTGAGAGTGTGACATGCTTCACACACCCTGGACAATCCGAATCGACTCCAGCTTCGCGTAAAAGCCAAGTAGTGGGCTTGCGCTTGCTCCGAGGTCAGCACATCTTCATCCGGGAACGGGTAGCCCCGCTGTTGGGCCTCTGTGGCGATCGGCAAAGGACCACGGCTGCCAAGTCCTTCTTCTGCGCGTTGAGCTTGAAGTTGTCGTCCCTGCGCCCGCCTGCTGTCCTCCGTGGGTACAGGCCCGCGGCTGCCAAGTCCTTCTTCTGCGCGTTGAGCTTGAAGTTGTTGTCCCTGCGCCCGCCTGCTGTCCGCCGTGGGTACAGGCCCGCGGCTGCCAAGTCCTTCTTCTGCGCGTTGAGCTTGAAGTTGTTGTCCCTGCGCCCGCCTGCGGTCCTCCGTGGGTACAGGCCCGCGGCTGCCAAGTCCTTCTTCTGCACGTTGAGCTTGAAGTTGTTGTCCCTGCGCCTGTCTGCTTTTCTCCGTGGGCAAAGGCCCGCGGCTGCCAAGTCCTTCTTCTGCACGGTCAGCTTGAAGTTGTTGCCTCTGGGCCCGAGTGCTGTTTGCAACAGGCACAGGTCCACGGCTGCCCGCTCCTTGCGCAGCACGTTTCTGCTGTTGAGCACTCTTCTCCTCGCTCTTCCGGCGGAGGTTCTCCTCTTTCTGAGCTTCGCGGCACTGTCGATTGCTGCACCATCCTTTTCCTCGGCCTTGCATTGGCCAGCCACACCGTGGGCAAGGCGCCATCCTAACGAATTGCGATAAGGCGGTTCCTAAGCTCAGCTAAGGCTGTATCCGCACGGCTGCGATCAAATCTCAAGCATGTTCCATCAGCGAGCAAATTAATCAAACGAAGAACAGCACAAAATCTTTTCAGGAACAGGTGATTCCAGACTGGATCACCGTCTATTGAGTCTACAAGCCATGTCATTGACCGATGCAGGACTGAGATGCAACGACAGCTCAAACCGGCCGTGTCCAGACTGCCGTATCCCTTGCTGCAGCGCTCGCTCCTTTTTGCGTTTGTTGCTGCTCGCGTTTGGAGCTCTAGCGGTCTGTGGCTTGCTTTGACATGTAGACAACTTGCACGTCCACGACCTCGTCGTGGAAGCTGCGGTCCAGGAGTTCGCGCCAGCTCCAAGCGTCGCTGATCACGTCTCCGTCCAAAACCAGTTGCGTGCCTTCGATGGGAATGGGTCCTGCAGGACTGCTGTCCAAGTCCAACAGCAAGACCTCTCTGGTGCTGCGATGCTGCAGCGTTTCCGGCGGGATGGGCTTCATGGTCTTCTGAAATTTGACACGTAGTTCTTGCAGGGATAGGCAGCGATCGGGGTTGTTGCCCTCGTGCAGCTGGGCGAGCCAAGCTTCCCGGAAAGATCCGGGCGGTTCGAGTTGGCAGAGCAGGCGATAAGGCTTCGAGGAATGGATCTCGGCACCCTGCATGTTCAGGTACCTCACCGTCAGGTCAGCAAGACGCTCGCTGAACTCCCTCTGCATCTCCATCTCTTTGTTCCATCTTGTTCCTCCACGTGCATCTTCCTCGGCGTCGTGCTGCATTTCTGCGTCGACCCAGTCCCAACAATCGAAAGGGTCCTCGCAGTCCTCCAGGTCGGAGCCCCGAATCGAGTGGTCTGAGCTTCTGGAACCCTCGCCCATGTTCTCGGACATCTCTGTTGCGCCGGTCGATCTCAGAAACAAGGGCTGTGGGCATGATCTTAGGCACTCGCTGTTGTGACGACTGAGATTCCAGCCGTAAGCGCCTACCTATAGGCCGAAGCTCGGACACAGAGCAGGACTACGACTCTTCACATTGAGCCCACGCGAGCGGAACTAACTCGGCTTGTCATGCATACCGAGCACTTGCACACAGTGTGCACTGTTGCAGAATTTACTTAATGGGGGAGTGTCATTAGAGCATGAGCAGGCACCTGGTACCCCCTTTTGGTTGAGGATAAGCGAGCCACTTCTGCATGCGAGCCCTCCGGCCTCGTCCCGTCTCTGTCTTTCTTCAGGTTGAAGATAAGCACCTGGTGCCCCATATTGGTTGAGGATAAGCGCACCACCTCTCCATGCGAGCCCTCCGGCCTTGTCCCTTGCCTTCGTCTTCTTTCAGGTTGAGTATAAGCACCTGGGAGACCATATTGGTTGAGGATAAGCAACCACTTCTGCATGCGCCTCCGTCTTCTTCAGGTTGAGACCACGCACCTGGGACCCCATGTTGGTTGAGGATAAGCGCTCCGGCCTTGTCCCCGCCTCCGTCTTCTTCAGGTTGACACCACGCACCGGGGACCCCATATTGGTTGCTTGTCCCCGCCTCCGTGTTCTTCGGGCTGAGACCACGCACCTGGAACCCCATATTGGTTGAGGATAAGCGCTCCGGCCTTGTCCCCGCCTCCGCACAATTCTGCTTGAGGATAAGCGTGGCGGCTGCACCTCTTCGCCTGGCACCGGATAAGCGTGGCGGCTGTACCCCCTGGCCCCCATGCATTCTGGTTGAGGATAAGCGTGGCGGCTGCGCCTCTTCCCCTGGCCCCCATTCTGGTTGAGGATAAGCGTGGCGGCTGCACCTCTTCGCCTGGCACCGGATAAGCGTGGCGGCTGTACCCCCTGGCCCCTATTCTGGTTGAGGATAAGCGTGGCGGCTGCGCCTCTTCCCCCTGTCCCCCATTCTGGTTGAGGATAAGCGTGGCGGCTGCACCTCTTCGCCTGGCACCGGATAAGCGTGGCGGCTGTACCCCCTGGCCCCTATTCTGGTTGAGGATAAGCGTGGCGGCTGCGCCTCTTCCCCCTGGCCCCCATTCTGGTTGAGGATAAGCGTGGCGGCTGCACCTCTTTGCCTGGCACCGGATAAGCGTGGCGGCTGTACCCTCTGGCCCCTATTCTGGTTGAGGATAAGCGTGGCGGCTGCGCCTCTTCCCCCTGGCCCCCATTCTGGTTGAGGATAAGCGTGGCGGCTGCACCTCTTCGCCTGGCACCGGATAAGCGTGGCGGCTGTACCCCCTGGCCCCTATTCTGGTTGAGGATAAGCGTGGCGGCTGCGCCTCTTCCCCCTGGCCCCCTTTCTGGTTGAGGATAAGCGTGGCGGCTGCACCTCTTCGCCTGGCACCGGATAAGCGTGGCGGCTGTACCCCCTGGCCCCTATTCTGGTTGAGGATAAGCGTGGCGGCTGCGCCTCTTCCCCCTGGCCCCCATTCTGGTTGAGGATAAGCGTGGCGGCTGCACCTCTTCGCCTGGCACCGAATAAGCGTGGCGGCTGTACCCCCTGGGCCCCTATTCTGGTTGAGGATAAGCGTGGCGGCTGCGCCTCTTCCCCCTGGCCCCCATTCTGGTTGAGGATTCGCCTGGCACCGGATAAGCGTGCGGCTGTACCCCCTGGCCCCTATTCTGGTTGAGGATAAGCGTGGCGGCTGCGCCTCTTCCCCCTGGCCCCCATTCTGGTTGAGGATAAGCGTGGCGGCTGCGCCTCTTCCCCCTGGCCCCCATTCTGGTTGAGGATAAGCGTGGCGGCTGCACCTCTTCGCCTGGCACCGAATAAGCGTGGCGGCTGTACCCCCTGGGCCCCTATTCTGGTTGAGGATAAGCGTGGCGGCTGCGCCTCTTCCCCCTGGCCCCCATTCTGGTTGAGGATTCGCCTGGCACCGGATAAGCGTGGCGGCTGTACCCCCTGGCCCCTATTCTGGTTGAGGATAAGCGTGGCGGCTGCGCCTCTTCCCCCTGCCCCCATTCTGGTTGAGGATAAGCGTGGCGGCTGCACCTCTTCGCCTGGCGCCGGATAAGCATGGCGGCTGTACCCCCTGGCCCCTATTCTGGATAAGCGTGGCGGCTGCGCCTCTTCCCCCTGGCCCCCATTCTGGTTGAGGATAAGGGTGGCGGCTGCACCTCTTCGCCTGGCACCGGATAAGCGTGGCGGCTGTACCCCCTGGTCCCTATTCTGGTTGAGGATAAGCGTGGCGGCTGCGCCTCTTCCCCCTGTCCCCCATTCTGGTTGAGGATAAGCGTGGCGGCTGCACCTCTTCGCCTGGCACCGGATAAGCGTGGCGGCTGTACCCCCTGGCCCCTATTCTGGTTGAGGATAAGCGTGGCGGCTGCGCCTCTTCCCCCTGGCCCCCATTCTGGTTGAGGATAAGCGTGGCGGCTGTCTTCGCCTGGCACCGGATAAGCGTGGCGGCTGCTATTCTGGTCGAGGATAAGCGTGGCGGCTGCGCCTCTTCCCCCTGACCCCCATTCTGGTTGAGGATAAACGTGGCGGCTGCACCTCTTCGCCTGGCACCGGATAAGCGTGGCGGCTGTACCCCCTGGCCCCTATTCTGGTTGAGGATAAGCGTGGCGGCTGCGCCTCTATTCTGGTTGAGGATAAGCGTGGCGGCTGCACCTCTTCGCCTGGCACCGGATAAGCGTGGCGGCTGTACCCCCTGGCCCCTATTCTGGTTGAGGATAAGCGTGGCGGCTGCGCCTCTTCCCCCTGGCCCCCATTCTGGTTGAGGATAAGCGTGGCGGCTGCACCTCTTCGCCTGGCACCGGATAAGCGTGGCGGCTGTACCCCCTGGCCCCTATTCTGGTTGAGGATAAGCGTGGCGGCTGCGCCTGCCCCTGGCCCCCATTCTGGTTGAGGATAAGCGTGGCGGCTGCACCTCTTCGCCTGGCACCGGATAAGCGTCATTCTGGTTGAGGATAAGCGTGGCGGCTGCACCTCTTCGCCTGGCACCGGATAAGCGTGGCGGCTGTACCCCCTGCCCCCTAATTATTCTGGTTGAGGATAAGCGTGGCGGCTGCGCCTCTTCCCCCTGGCCCCCATTCTGGTTGAGGATAAGCGTGGCGGCTGCACCTCTTCGCCTGGCACCGGATAAGCGTCATTCTTGTTGAGGATAAGCGTGGCGGCTGCACCTCTTCGCCTGGCACCGGATAAGCGTGGCGGCTGTACCCCCTGGCCCCTATTCTGGTTGAGGGTAAGCGTGGCGGCTGCGCCTCTTCCCCCTGGCCCCTATTCTGGTTGAGGATAAGCGCGGCGGCTGCGCCGCCTCCGCTTTCCCTGAAACCCCATATTGGTTGAGGACAAGCTCTCCGGCCTCGTCCGCGCCTCCGCCGTTTTCTCAGCTTAAAACCGTGCACCTGAAACTCCATCTTGGTTGAGGATAAACGCTCCGGCCTCGTCCCCGCCTCCGCCTTCTTCGGGCTGTGAGACCACGCCCCTGCGAGCCCATATTGGTTGAGGATACCCCGCCTCCCCCTTCTTCGGGCTGCCAGACCACGCACCTGGGACACCATAGTGGTTGAGGATAAGCGCTCCGGCCCGGTCCCTGCCTCCGCCTTCTTCGGGCTGTCTGACCACGCACCTAGGACCCCATATTGGTTGAGGATAAGCGCTTTGGCCTCGTCCCCGCCTCCTCCTTCTCCGGGATGAGACTTCACACCTGGGACCCCATGTTGGTTGAGGAGAAGTGCTGCGGTCTCCCCGCCTCCGTCTTCTTCGGGCTGAGATCACGCACCTCGGACCCCAGTTTTGTTGAGGATAATCGCTTTGGCCTCGTCCCCGCCTCCTCCTTCTCCGGGATGAGACTTCACACCTGGGACCCCATGTTGGTTGAGGAGAAGTGCTGCGGTCTCCCCGCCGCCGTCTTCTTCGGGCTGAGATCACGCACCTCGGACCCCAGATTTGTTGAGGATAATCGCTTTGGCCTCGTCCCCGCCTCCTCCTTCTCCGGGATGCGACTTCACACCTGGGACCCCATGTTGGTTGAGGAGAAGTGCTGCGGTCTCCCCGCCGCCGTCTTCTTCGGGCTGAGATCACGCACCTCGGACCCTTTTTTTGTTGAGGATAAGCGCTCCGGCCTCGTCCCCGCCTTCGCCTTCTTCGGGTTGGGACCCCATATTGGTTGAGGATAAGCCCTCCGGCCTCGTCCCCTCCGCTTTCTTCAGGTTGAGACCACGCACCTGGGACGTTGAGGAAAAGCGTGCTGGATCGGTTGAGGATAAGCGTTCCGGCCTCTTCCCCGCCTCCGCCTTCTCCGGATTGGGACCCCGTAGTTCCCGCCTCCACTTTCTTCGGGCTGTGAGACGTCACACTTGGAACCCCATATTGGTTGAGGGTAAGCGCTCCGGCCTCGTCCCCGCCTCCAGTTTCTTCGGGCTGCGAGACGTCACACCTGGAACCCCATATTGGTTGAGGGTAAGCGCTCCGGCCTCGTCCTCGCCTCCAGTTTCTTCGGGCTGCGAGACGTCACATCACACCTGGAACCCCATATTGGTTGAGGGTAACCGCTCTGGCCTCGTCCCAGCCTCTGCTTTCTTCGGGTTGGGACCCCATCTTGGTTGAGGATAAGCGCTCCGGCCTTGTCCCCGCCTTCGCTTTCCCTGAAACCCCATATTGGTTGAGGACAAGCGCTCCGGCCTCGTCCCCGCCTCTGCCGTCTTCTCAGCTTAAAACCATGCACCTGAAACCCCATCTTGGTTGAGGATACGTCCCCGCCTCCGGCCTGAGATCCCAGACTTCGGAAACCCATATTGGTTGAGGATATCTCTGGCCTGATCCCCGCCTCCGTGTTCTTCTCAGGTTGAGACCATGCACCTGAAGCCCCATATTGGTTGAGTATACGTGGGTTGAAGATACGCGCTCCGGCCTCGTCCCCGCCTCCGTCTTCATCTCGGGTTGAGCCCACGTGCCTGGAACCCCATATTGGTTGAGGATAAACGCCCTGGCCTCGACCCCGCCCCTGCCTTCCTCGGGTTGAGACCATGCTATATCTCCCCGTATGTGTCTATTGAATGCTGAATAACAGCTGCGTCGGATAGGAGTCGCTCGTAGTCATCGGGCATACCCCAAGAGTGCATGCGCGTGATGCAAGTGCTTCCCGTGCACCTTTTGGACTCTCAAGGGAAGAGGTTCTTATCGCCGGACCTGGCGCTCAGACGGCTGCCGTGGCCTCCTGGGCTGTGCTGTGGCAGGGACGTGCCCGCATGTTCTTCTTCGTTGTGCTGGTCCGGCCTGGAAGACATCCTCTTCCCAGAAACAAATGCTGTCCGAAAGATACCACCAGGGTATCCACGCGCCGTGCGGCACCCTTTGCCAAATGTATCCTGGTTGCACGTCAGTGTGCAGGTTCTGTTCTCTCGCTCTTGCTTGCTGGCCTGCCCACCCATTCTTCCTGAGAAGATTTCTTTTCTCTTCGACGGTGGCACAGGCCTAGCGCAACTAGCGTCAACCACCGTCGGCAGATGCTGGCTTGGTGTGCGTTGCTCGGCCCCTGACGCCCAGTTGGCTCTTGATGCTGTCCAACGGGCTCGGAGCTTCGCGCTCCGGTTTCCCGGCTCTGTCACGGCGGCGGGGCCTGCAGCGCCATCGGGTTCAGCAGAGACATCACGAGCGCTTCTTAAGGCCCCGACGGACACAACCCGAGTCGGCGTGCACAGGGAGGGCCTCGATAAAGGTAAACGGCATATCAGGACTCCTCACTCGTAGAGCGTCCGAGGCTCGGGCACAACATCGCGTTGTGTGTCTCTTCTCCCTCGTATCCGGGGTCGATGCCCAAGTATCGGGCATATTCCTTGCACTCCTGGCGTAAAAACAAAGCCGAGTAAATGAGAAGTAGTTTCCCGCGACACATCCTCAGGTGCGGGCGCAGCACCGCAGTATACCTTCCGATCTCTCGAAACAGATTGTCCCTGTCGCCATAGCTTCTCCGAGGGGGACCGCTGGCTAGGAATTGCTCAATGAACAAGAGCTGCGTTCATAAGCTGCTGGGAGCAGGTACTCCTGCATGCGTCTGGCTGCACTACATGCTCAGTGATGGTCTCTTTCTCTGATATCCTTTTGCAATTGTCCCGCTTGCGAGCGCGGATACTCCATGGCTCGCCTTCGGCGACTCCGTCTCCTTCAGTGTTCGCCTGAATGGGACTCCGTATTGAGGATAAGCCCTCCCGGCCGTGTCCTTGCCTCTGTCTTGTTTAGCTTGAGCTTCCACACCGTCTTCTTCGGCTTGAGCTTCCACACCTCGGAAGCCCATATTGGTCGAGGATAAGCCCTCCCGGCCTCGTCCTTGCCCCCGTCTTCTTCCGCTTGAGCTTCCACGCCTCGGAAACCCATATTGGTTGAGGATAAGCCCTCCCGGCCTCGTCCTTGCCCCCGTCTTTTTCCGCTTGAGCGTCCACGCCTCGGAAACCCATATTGGTTGAGGATAAGCCCTCCCGGCCTGGTCCTTGCCCCCGTCTTCTTCCGCTTGAGCGTCCACGCCTCGGAACCCCATATTGGCTGAGGATAAGCCCTCCCGGCCTCCTCCTTGCCTCTGTCTTCCTCCGCTTAAGCGTCCACGCCTCGGAAACCCATATTGGTTGAGGATAAGCCCTCCCGGCCTCCTCCTTGCCTCTGTCTTCTTCCGCTTGAGCGTCCACGCCTCGGAAACCCATATTGGTTGAGGATAAGCCCTCCCGGTCGTGTCCTTGCCTCTGTCTTCCTCCGCTTAAGCGTCCACGCCTCGGAAACCCATATTGGTTGAGGATAAGCCCTCCCGGCCTCCTCCTTGCCTCTGTCTTCTTCCGCTCGCGCGTCCACGCCTCGGAAACCCATATTGGTTGAGGATAAGCCCTCCCGGTCGTGTCCTTGCCTCTGTCTTCTCCTCCGTGCCTCTGTCTTCTTCCGCTTGAGCTTCACGCCTCGGAAACCCATATTGGTTGAGGGTAAGCCCTCCCGGTCTTGTCCTTGCCTCTGTCTTCTTCGGCTTGAGCTTCACGCCTCGGAAACCCATATTGGTTGAGGGTAAGCCCTCCCGGTCTGGTCCTTGCCTCTGTCTTCTTCGGCTTGAGCTTCCACACCTCGGAAACCCATATTGGTTGAGGATACACTCTCCCGGCCTTGTCCTTGCCTCTGTCTTCTTCAGCTTGAGCCTTCATGCCTCGGAAACCCATATTGGTTGAGGATACACTCTCCCGGCCTTGTCGTTGCCCTTCTGCAGCTTGAGGGAAACCCATATTGGTTGGGGATACACCCTCCCGGCCTTGTTCTTGCCCTTCTTCAGCTTGAGCTTCCACGCCTCGGAAACCCATATTGGTTGAGGATAAGTCCTCCCGGCCTTGTCCTTGCCTCTGTCTTCTTCAGCTTGAGCTTCTACGCCTCGGAAACCCATATTGGTTGAGGAGAAGCTCTCCCGGCCTTGTCCTTGCCTCCGTCTCCTTCAGCTTGAGCTTCCACGCCTCGGAAACCCATATTGGTTGAGGATATTCTTCTTTTCTTCAGCTTGGGCCTTCTACGCCTCGGAAACCCATATTGGTTGAGGATACACTCTCCCGGCCTTGTCGTTGCCCTTCTGCAGCGTGAGGGAAACCCATATTGGTTGGGGATAAACCCTCCCGGCCTTGTTCTTGCCCTTCTTCAGCTTGAGCTTCCACGCCTCGGAAACCCATATTGGTTGAGGATAAGTCCTCCCGGCCTTGTCCTTGCCTCTGTCTTCTTCAGCTTGAGCTTCTACGCCTCGGAAACCCATATTGGTTGAGGAGAAGCTCTCCCGGCCTTGTCCTTGCCTCCGTCTCCTTCAGCTTGAGCTTCCACGCCTCGGAAACCCATATTGGTTGAGGATATTCTTCTTCAGCTTGAGCTTCCACGCCTCGGAAACCCATTGGTTTGAGGATAAGCCCTCCCGGCCTTGCCTCTGTCTTCTTCGACTTGTGAGCTTCCACACCTCGGAAACCCATACTGGTTGAGGATAATCCCTCCCGGCCTTGTCGTTGCGCTTCTGCAGCTTGAGACGCCACGTCTTGGAAACCCATATTGGTTGATGATAAACCCTCCCGGCCTTGTCCTTGCCCTTCTTCAGCTTGAGCTTCCACGCCTCGGAAACCCATATTGGTTGAGGATGGCTCACCCCCGGCCTTGTCCCTGCCTCTGTCTTCTTCAGCTTGAACTTCCACACCTCGGAACCCCATATTGGTTGAGGATGAGCCCTCCCGGCCTTGTCCCTGCCCCTGTCTTCTTCAGCTTGAGCTTTCACGCCTCGGAAACCCATACTGGTTGAGGATGAGCCCCCCCCCCGGCCGTGTCCCTACCTGTGTCTTCTTCAGCTTGAACTTCCGCACCTCGGAACCCCATGTTGGTTGAGGATGGGCCCTCCCAGCCTTGTCCTTGCATAGGTACTCCGGCCTCTCCTCGCCTCCGTCCTGTTCGAGTTGAGACCACGCACCTCGGACCCGATATTGGTTGAGGACAAGTGCTCCGGCCTGGTTCCCGCCTCCATCCTCTTCAAGTTGAGACCGCGCACCTGGGACCCCATATTGCTTGAGGATAGGCACTCCGGCCTGGTCTCGGCTTCTGTTCTCTCCAGACCACGAACCTGGGAACCCATGACAGTTGAGGATAGGCGATCCGGCCTTGTCGCCGCCTCCGTCTTCTTCAGGTTGAGACCACGCGCCGAGAACGTATTCTGAGAGTAAGTCCTTCGAGCCTGTTGTCGCCTCCTCTTGAAGCTCGCCTTCTTCTGGCTTCAAGCACCTGGCACTGATGCACGCTGCGGTAGGGCGCGCACCTAGGACCCCATATCGGTTGAGGATAAGTGCTCCGCCCTCGTCCCCACCTTCACCTTCTTCGGGCCGAGATCGCGTACCTGGGACTCCACGTTGGTCGAGGATAAGCGCTCCGGCCTCGTCCCCGCCTCCGCTTTCGCACCTGGGACCCCATATTGGTTGAGGATAAGCGCTCCGGCCTCGTCCCTGCCGAGCACGCACCTGGGACCCCAGCTCCGGCCTCGTCCCCGCCTCCGCCTTCTTCGGGCTGAGACCACGCGCCTGGAACCCCATATTGCGCCGGCCTGGTCCGCGAGAGCACGCACCTGGGACCCCATATTGGTTGAGGATAAGCGCTCCCGCCTCCGAGCACGCGCCTGGAACATATTGGTTGAGGATAAGCGCTCCGGCCTCGTCGCCTTCTTCGGGCTGAGACCACGCACCTGGGACCCCATATTGGTTGAGGATGAGTGCTCCGGCCTCGTCCCTGCCTCCGCCTTCTTCGACTGAGACCACGCACCTGGAACCCCACATTGGTTGAGGATAATCAGCGCTCACCTCCTCACTTCGGTCTCTTGGGGTTGGGACCACGTACCTGGGACACCATGCAGGCGAGCCTGCACGGCTTCGTTCCCGCTCCCGGCCTTCTTCTTCTTGAGGATACGCACCTGGCACTCCACGCTGGTTGCGGTCTAAGTGAGCGGGTTGGGAGGGGAGGAGGGTGGGGAGGTCACTGCCTTGCGGTGCGGGGTTCGGGGGAGGGAAGGGGAGGGAGGGAAGGGGGGGAGGGAGCGGGGGGACCCTCCGGAGGGGGCACCGGGTGGGGGGGAGGGGGGGGAGGGTGGGGAGGGGTGCGGGGGCCCACACCCCATTTTAGTTGAGGATTGTTTTTTGGTGTCTGCCCACTACCCCCCGTGAGACTCGTGCCACCCCCCCGGAGGAGGCACCGGGTGGGGAGGGGGAGGGAAGGGGGGAGGGTGGGGGAGGGGGCCGGGGAGGGGTGGGAACCAACACCCCATTTCAGTTGAGGATTGTTTTTTGGTGTCTGCCCACTACCCTCCCGCCCCAGGAGGAGGGGGGAGGGCGCTCAGGGGGAGGGGGGGCGGGGGGAAGACCCCACACCCCATTTTAGTTGAGGATTGTTCTCTCGGCCTTGTCGCTGAGACCACACACCTCGGCAACCACATTGGTTGAGGCTCAAGCTTCCATACCTTGGATTGTCCTTGCCTCTGTCTTCTTCGGCTTGAGCTTCCACACCTCGGAACCCCATACCGGTTGAGGATAAGCCTTCCCGCCTTGTCTCTGCCTCTGTCTTCTTCGGCTGGAGCTTCCATACCCCGGAAACCCACATCGGTTGAGTATAAACCCTCCCGGCCTTATCCTTGCCTCTGTCTTCTTCGACTTGTGAGCTTCCACGCCTCGGAAACCCGTACTAGTTGAGGATAAACCCTCCCGGCCTTGTCGTTGCGCTTCTGCAGCTTGAGACCCCACGTCTTGGAAACCCATATTGGTTGATGATACACCCTCCCGGCCTTGTCCTTGCCCTTCTTCAGCTTGAGCTTCCACGCCTCGGAAACCCATACTGGTTGAGGATGAGCCCCCCCCCGGCCTTGTCCCTACCTGTGTCTTCTTCAGCTTGAACTTCCACACCTCGGAACCCCATGTTGGTTGAGGATGGGCCCTCCCGGCCTTGTCCTTGCCTCGGAAACTTATATTGGTTGAGGATAAGCCCTCCCGGCCTCGTTCTTACCTCTGTCTTCTTCAGCTTGAGCTTCCTGGGGCCACGCACTTCGAACCCCGGCCTTGTCCTTGCCTCCGTCGTCTTTTTGCTGGGGTCACGCACCTCGGACCTCATATTGGTTGAGGCCTCGTCCTTTCTCTTTTCTCCAAGATGAAACCATGCACCTGGGACCCTATCTTGGTTGAGGATAGGCACTCCGGCCTCTCCTCGCCTCCGTCCTGTTCGAGTTGAGACCACGCACCTCGGACCCGATATTGGTTGAGGAGAAGTGCTCCGGCCTGGTTCCCGCCTCCATCCTCTTCAAGTTGAGACCGCGCACCTGGGACCCCATATTGATTGAGGATAGGCACTCCGGCCTGGTCTCGGCTTCTGTTCTCTCCAGACCACGAACCTGGGAACCCATGACAGTTGAGGATAGGCGATCCGGCCTTGTCGCCGCCTCTGTCTTCTTCAGGTTGAGACCACGCGCCGAGAACGTATTCTGAGAGTAAGTCCTTCGAGCTTGTTGTCGCCTCCTCTTGAAGCTCGCCTTCTTCTGGCTTCAAGCACCTGGCACTGATGCACGCTGCGGTAGGGCACGCACCTAGGACCCCATATCGGTTGAGGATAAGTGCTCCGCCCTCGTCCCCACCTTCACCTTCTTCGGGCCGAGATCGCGTACCTGGGACTCCACGTTGGTCGAGGATAAGCGCTCCGGCCTCGTCCCCGCCTCCGCTTTCGCACCTGGGACCCCTTATTGGTTGAGGATAAGCGCTCCGGCCTCGTCCCTGCCGAGCACGCACCTGGGACCCCAGCTCCGGCCTCGTCCCCGCCTCCGCCTTCTTCGGGCTGAGACCACGCGCCTGGAACCCCATATTGCGCCGGCCTGGTCCGCGAGAGCACGCACCTGGGACCCCATATTGGTTGAGGATAAGCGCTCCCGCCTCCGAGCACGCGCCTGGAACATATTGGTTGAGGAAAAGCGCTCCGGCCTCGTCGCCTTCTTCGGGCTGAGACCACGCACCTGGGACCCCATATTGGGTGAGGATAAGTGCTCCGGCCTCGTCCCTGCCTCCGCCTTCTTCGACTGAGACCACGCACCTGGGACCCCCCATTGGTTGAGGATAATCAGCGCTCACCTCCTCACTTCGGTCTTCTTGGGGTTGGGACCACGTACCTGGGGACACCATGCAGGCGAGCCTGCACGGCTTCGTTCCCGCTCCCGGCCTTTTTCTTCTTGAGGATACGCACCTGGCACTCCACGCTGGTTGCGGTCTAAGTGAGCGGGTTTGGGAGGGGGGTGGGAGGGGCAGAGCGAGGGGGAGGGAAGGGAGCGGGGGAGGGAAGGGGGGGAGGGAGGGGGGGGACCCTCCGGAGGGGGACTCGTGCCACCCTCCGGAGGAGGCACCGGGTGGGGAGGGGGAGGGAGGGGGGGAGGGTGGGGGAGCGGGGCGGGGAGGGGCGGGAACCAACGCCCCATTTTAGTTGAGGATTGTGTTTTGGTGTCTGCCCACTACCCTCCCGGCCCAGGAGGGGGGGGGGGAGGGCGGGGGAGGGGGGGCGGGGGGGAGACCCCGCACCCCATTGATTTCTGCCACTACCTTCCCTGAGAATTCGTGCCACCCTGCCACCTCTGGAAGGGAGGCCGTCAATAGGGCATGGGAGGGGGAGGGAGGGGGAGGGGGCATACCTTCAGGTTCCTGTTTTGTTTGAGGAAAAGCTCTCCGGATAAGCCCTCTCAGCCTTGTCGCTGAGACCACACACCTCGGCAACCCACATTGGTTGAGGCTCAAGCTTCCATACCCTGGATTGTCCTTGCCTCTGTCTTCTTCGGCTTGAGCTCCCCCACCTCGGAACCCCATACCGGTTGAGGATAAGCCTTCCCGCCTTGTCCCTGCCTCTGTCTTCTTCGGCTGGAGCTTCCACACCCCGGAAACCCACATCGGTTGAGGATAAGCTCTCCCGGCCTTGCCGTTGCCTCTGTCTTCTTCGACTTGTGAGCTTCCGCACCTCGGCAACCCACATCGGTTGAGGATAAGCTCTCCCGGCCTTGCCGTTGCCTCTGTCTTCTTCGACTTGTGAGCTTCCGCACCTCGGAAACCCATACTGGTTGAGTATAAACCCTCCCGGCCTTGTCCTTGCCTCTGTCTTCTTCGAC